GAGGAGGAACTCCTTTGTGATTAAAAAAAAAAATTCACAATTACAACTGCTTCGGGAAGCTGGAAAGAGGAAAATGAGAGCCTATTTCCTACAGAGCACGTGTTAAGAGTGTGAAAGGAAAGGGTTGAAGAGGTTACTGGAGCAACAGCAGCTCCACAGAAACCTGAGAGGCAGGAGGCTTCCCACTCCGGAGAGCGAACATGGGGAGCTTGGCAGCCAGCGGGCACTGCAGCCGCCTTGAAGGGCCAAACCTTCCCTCTGTCACCAGCTCAACTAACACCGGCTTAGCTTAAGCTCTTATTTTAATGTTTACACATCACATTAAAATGCCGGCAGGCTTTAAGCGGGGATGGCAAACAAATTTTTTAAATCACACTTCAAATTTCTGAGTTTATCCTGTGTCATGTGAATTTTTCCTAGACAGAAAGGTGAGAAAAAGCAGAGACTAGAAGGGATATTTCTAATTGCCAGCATTCCGTTTGAGGAGGGGGGAAAAAAAAAAAGCACCCCAAATCCCCAACTCCCCAGTTCGACCTGAAGCCCCCTCCTCAGGCGCATCAGCTGCACACAGATGTAACTCGCCTCGCCACCTGCCGCAAACCCAAGGCTTCTGAAAGAACCCCGAGGACAGTGAGACACAGTACAGACCTGTTAACATGAAAATGGCAGTTTCCAGAACAGTTTACAGATTTCAGAGAGCCAAAAGAGAAGCTCCTGCCATATGACTGTGTTTGGTATCTGTCTTTCCTATCTGTCCAAACCCAAGCTCAACAGAAATGGACAACATTCAGCACTGGACATACTGACAACACTGTGCCTGACAGTCTTGGGTCAGAACTCACTGACTGGAGGTGCAGTCATTGGATGATGGGCCGGCGAGGGAGAAGCACCCAGACACAAAGGCACCCACTGGAACATGTAGAGCTGTCCATCTCTAGTTATTCTTTCTAATTTTGGAGCCATGTGACTGGACTTCACACAGCATGGCTGGCCCCATCAGCCTGAGGGCTGGAGGCGGACCACGTGGGGAGGGGTGCTCCTTTTTGCTCCTTCATTAGGATATTGTCACATTCACAGGGCAAGTGAGCTACTTCCTGGCTGACCTGCGGCACCCTGGCCAGCGTTCGGTGTCAGTGAATTTAACTAGTCCTGTCCAGATCTCTCCTAGGCTGTTAAGAAGCTTTTCCATCTTAAAAAGAGGGATCTATTTGATATCACAAAGACATAGAATCCTTTAAAAGACAGATTCGAAGTATTTTCTTCTTTAAGTGATGAGAGTAACAGGGAAGAACAGTTGCCATCTGGGCTGACTCCAAGTCTGGCAGGTGCTCCTGAGTGAGGGACCTCACACTTGCTCAGGTGCTACAACACCCTCACCTTTCCACACCACTCCCACCTTTCTTTAGAGAAGTAACACAACAGAAAACAGCACTGTCCTGTGTTCAGAAGAAATCACCATCAAATATCACTGCTGAAATCATCTTTAATGACACATATTGAAATAGAAAATGATTTAGAACTATACCTGGGCAATGCCAAATATATTTTTGCTTAGAAACCAAAAATAAATGGGCTCTGGAGCCTGATTGCCCAGGTCAATTCCTGGGTGTGCCACTTGCCATCTGTGTGACTTGGAGCAAGTTACTCAACATCTCTATGCCTCAGTTTCCTGCTCTGGAAAATGAGAACACTAATAGTTCCTTTCTCTTAGCTTATTATGAAAATTAAGCACTACATGTTTACTACATAAATAAAACCTATGGGATGCCTATGATATAACACTGTGTTTGGAAACTATCTGATCTCCTATTTTGTACTGGCTGACAACTACCATTTTGTACATTAAAATGAGTAACTCAGTAGGGATGGGCTTACTTTTCCTGTTTCATGTCTTGCTAAAATCAAAGCAGCATCACAGGAAGGGGGCTCATTAGCCTGGTCTCCCTTTCCTTCATGATGTCCTCAGAGTGTACTTTATCCAAAGTGGTCAGACCCCCCGCCCCCATCACCAGCCCACCTTGGCCACCTACCGCAGGCCAGTGGGCGAAGACAGAATGCTAGGCACATGCAATTGTTGTATTTATCACTTTTCTTATGTAAATATCAAACCAGTATTAGCGAAGTTGGAAACTATTTCCCTTTCCTTGACTCCTACCCCATGGGCGCTGAGTGCCCGGCTGAGGGCTTGGGCTCCAGCCTGGGGCTCCTGAACAGGCTCAGGAGGTCGACTTCTGACCTCTGCGGAGGGATGGTCTAATGCAGAAAATTTTGAAAGCCTGCTCATTGATTCCTTTAAAACTTCATGAAGACAAGTTTATTAACAATTTGGTCAATTTTTTCTCAAACTGAGCACACACATCACCACCACCAACCAGCTCGACAACTAGCGGCTCCAACTGCTGGTATTCAGATGAGAATAAAGATGGGATCAGGCAGGTACCTGGAATAGGAGGTACCTGGTCTAGGAGCCAGGTAACCTGAATTCTGGCATAGGACCCGTCACCAGGTAAACCCATCTCGCCAAGCTGGGACTCAGATCCTTTATTGCAAAACAAGGTTATCTAAAGCCCCCTTCAACTTGGAAAACGTCATAATTCCTTAACCCCCAAGTCCTCTAGTGCTGCAAGTTCTCTACAGCACCAGGAGGCAGAGAGGATACAGAAAAAGGTAAGTCATTCCCATTTCTCTAAAAGTTAGGATCACTGAGCGTGCCCTATTTTTTATAACCCTAAATAGAGACATTTATCACAAAACAAAACCTCTACCTCTAACTGCTTATTAGCTTATGCCAACTCCAAGAACACAGAAGGGGTGCCCCAGTAGGTCCTCAGCAGCACCCAGAATGGGGATGGCCCCAGGAAGCAGCCGGGACAACACCAGAGAGGGTGGTAAGTCCAGCTGCTCATCTCTCAGATGCTTCTCACCCAGGCTAGACTCTGGCCTCGTCGCTGAGAAGATCTCGTGGTTTGACGGTGCAGGCGATGCAACTGAAACTTCACCTGGAGATGGCCTGAAGTATACTGTCCAAACCTGAGAGGCTAAAATACTCCAGTCTGGCCCAGTACTCTCCCTTAATTATCTAACTGCCCTACTAAGGGGGGCCTCTGTGCTGGCTCAGTGACGGTCTCCCTATTCTAAGTGAGCAGACTCTTCCAGCCATTACCCCCTGTTCTGACTCCCTGATGCAATGTTCATCTCCTGTTCTATGCACCCACCCTCCTTGTGGCTTCTGCAGCAAAGCCTCGAGGCCAAATGCCTCAGCTCACCAACTACTTTGGGTCTGTACTTCACTCACGGCAGAACATGGGAATTTCCATAAAATTACCCACATACCTGTGCTACAGCATTTTCCCACAATTTATACTTGTCAGAGAAATGGTGTAACAGAAGGACTAAAGTGGCACCATCCCTCTCGCGGAACCCTTGCTACCAGGGGTCCCACCTCAGAGCACCCTCCCTCTCAGGAACACCTTTTCTCAATGACACTTTCCCCTCAGGGGCAACCCCTCTCAGAGATACCAGAAGTCTAAACATGGGCTTAATTACCAATCAATTTGGATTCCCACTTTGGCTCAAGCTCCCATTTTGCACCGGCACCTGTGCTTGGGGCTGTAATCTGTGCCAACTTCAAATCTCACAGCCACACAGCATCCTGGATAGCATTAGCCTCATTCTGCAAATAATTAGAGTAGGTTTCAGAGAGACTAAGTGGTTTGCCCAAACACAGACCAGGCCTTCTGCTTTTGAGACTTGTGTTCTTTTCGTCATCTCACTGGACCCAAGACACCGCCGCCACCTGTGGTCGGCTCCACAGGAAAACGCAGTACAGGGTTAGGGAGTCAGGCTCTGGTGGGTCACCAGGGACTCAGAAACCCATGAGCTGGTTCTAGAAAATGCTTCAAACAGGAGAGTATCTCATCATAAAGGGAGATTTTCTGGAAATCTGTAATGTAAATACAGACTTTCTAAAAAGCACTGACTTTTCTCATACAGCTTTAAGGTAGTTATCCCCATTTAACCTCCCCTCCACCTCCCCCAACACACAACACACAGTGACATGGTTTAATTCAGGGAAAGTATGTCAAAGCTAAATTCATAAGCCATGAAGAAGTTCAGCATTCTGTGCCCATGATGGGGACACTTAGGGACAGGAAATGAGCCGAGGCTGATGAGCAAGAAGAAATGAAATGCTGGCTAACCCACAGACAGGGGGTCACTGAATGACAGCATGGCACATGCACCCTGGGGAACTCTCGCTTAATCCCCCAGCAGGACTTCATCCTCCAGCGAAGAGACAGTGAGTGATCACAGCCTTGGCCATGCCCACCCAGCACCCACTGCATCAGAGCCTTCCCGCCCTTTCAGGAACAGGGCGCCAGCCAAGTGAAAGGACCTCGCAGGTCAAGGGCTGGGAAGACTTTGGGGGACCATCTAATCCAAAACCCTTACTGTACAAACAAGGGATCTCTGGCCTCCTCGAACGACCTGCTTCCCGTCGTCAGGCAACGTCAGTACCAGAATGAGAGCCAAGATCTCAGCATCTTCTCACAGGGCCATAATTACTCCTGTCAGAGATGATAGTGGCTAAAGGGCTAAAGTGACACCCTCCCTCTCAGGGACACCCTCCCACCAGGGATCCCACCTCAGAGACACCCCACCTCCCAGGGACACCCTCTTCTACATCTTTTACTCTTCTTCTACTGAGGCTACATCGCTGCAGCCCAGACCCACCCACCCCCTGTGAACATTCGCACAGGGTCCAGTTTGCATATGGTAATCCAGGAACACCACGAAATACGAGGCTCTTGCTTGCCCAATTCCCAAACCGCTGAAGAGTGCTCTGCCTGCCCCTAAAGTCCAGATGACTGTTTACTCACATCATTCACTTACATCCACAGAAACTGGCCAAATGCTTCTCAGATATATTCTACACATAGATTTCCCGAAGAGAAGATGCTACAAAAACCACCACTGTGAATTAATGAGAACGGGACAACTACCTTCCCCAAAACGCGATCTCCAGAGTGCCTCCGGAGTCACGCAGCCCGTTGGTGATCCCACTGGAATAGCCCATCACTATGCTGCCATCTGCTGAGACGCTCAGGACGTCCGGATGTCCTCCCGCTGGTGTCCTCTCGAGGAACTGGGTGCCTTCTTTAATGCGCTGCTGTATCATTGGAGTGAGGGGCATTTCAAAGCTAAAATAGCTATCAGGCTCAGAGTACAACGTCTCCAAGGACTCGGCACTGTAGTATAAAGAGGTGTTGTCCAGAATGGTTTCAAACTGGGAGCTGTACACATCAGTGGAGTCCTCCGTATACCCGGGCCCAAGAGTATCCTCGTCGCCTCCCTGAAAGGGCTCCTCTTCCTCAAGAGTCCTGGCAAGGAAATAAGAGTGAGGAATTCCCGTATTAGGCTAATTTTTTTCCTTTTTCCCCTTCAGCCATATAAAAAAGGGAGCACTCTATAGTGAGAACACTCATATTCACTGAACTTATGCCTTAATATATTTGGGAAGGAAGCTATCATAGAATCATAAACAGATTGAAAAAACTCCTAGCATACATGTGCCACACAACCCTCTAAAAATACTTTAACATAGTTTCAAACTAGTTTCCTAGTGTGTGAATACATCTGCTCCAAGAAATATCTGAATAAAGCACTAAGTTCTCATTTTAGTCAACTAAACGCCACAAATTCAAACTAGTAACGTTACAGTCATACTTAATTTTTAACAGAAGCTGATAAATATATTGTGTAAACCTAGTGGAGTAAAAATACACTTAACTTTCATCATTTTATTAATATTTTCTGACTTGAGTAAGACCAAATGCCCTCAAGAGGTTGAACATGTTAGAGTCCAAGGGCTGCCCCCTCCTGACAATAAGAAAGCATTGCAGAGAGATCCCAGGTCCAAAACAACCACCTTAAGGTAAAAAGGCCAATGACATGCTTACTGCAAAGCTAAACAAAATAGTGAAAACTAGAAGCAACTTACAAGCTACTATAAAGGGGTGAGGCATTAGTTAATGAACATGCAGCGTTTTCCTCAAATATTAAAATTAGAATAACTAAGCAAAATGTAGAAACTCAGTAAGAGCAAGAGGTCAGGAGTTAGGAAAACCCAGAGCTGGATTATGGATGTACCAATTACCAGCTATGCCATTTTAGGCAACTTTCCTTAACCTCTCTGAACCTCAGATTCCTGTAAATGGGAATAAAAGAGAAGTAGGAATAAAACTTCCTCACAGATAATCCACATTCCAAAGTACTATCAGGATTCACATTCCACAACACAGCTGTCTGTGTCGTTTGAAATCACTGAAGGTCTACATGTACCAAACATTATCCTGGGTTTATGCCTCCTATCACTGCACATGGAATAAATGGAGAGTTCCTGTAGGAAGCTCTCCCTGCCTCTCCACACTCACGGCCTCCCACTCTCCCCAGCACCTTATGCCTGGCCACACTGCTGGAGTTTCAAATCCTCAAACTTGCCTTAAGGCCTCTGCTCCTCCCAACACCAGGAGGTACATGCAGCTAGGCGATCCCGCGTAACTAGAGTGCCCCCTGAACACACCGTTCCCTCGGCCTGGAATGCCCCTCCTCCCCATTCTCTGCCTGGTGAACTCCGCTCACTCCTCCAGCTGAGGCTGAGTATCACTTCCCCAGGAGGGCCCTCCCGCGCTGCAAGCCGGGGAGGCCTCTCTCCTGCACTCAAGGTGTTCTTGCCAGTGCACGTCTCCTCCTTTCTTGGCACAGTCTGTGATCCTACAGTCACTAATGTGCCCGTACAGTCAATGCTGTCCCCAGCTCCTCAAGCCCCAGGAGGGCAGCGCCCATGGCCACATCGACTGAACATCCTTTATGCCCCCACCCAGCAGTGTCCAGGGCACAGCAGACAACTGAGAACCATCTGTGGAAGGACAGAAGGATGGAGGGAGGAAGGAATCATCTGCGTGGCAGTGGAAGTGCACATCCCGGTGGGGATACAATCACTGGGCCATGGGCCACATGACAAGGCCGCTTCTGAGGGAGGTCTGGAGACTTATGCATTGGGGGGTCGGGGAGAAAGGAGTGGAGGGGAGCAGGCGTGGCAGCCATCCTAAGGAGCATCAGGCAGGCGGGTCTGTTAGCTAACTGTAGAGGAAAGGCATTGCCTTACTCGGAAGGAACAGGAATACCCTTCCACCTTGACATACATGTTCTTCCATTTCAAGAATAAAACATGGCATCGTGAGGCCTGACAGGAGGAAAGATGTTACTAACCTTAACTGACAGTACACAACAAATGCCTTTGCGCAGCAGAGCACTGTACAGTCAGACTACGAGCAAAGGAAGTGAGGAAAGACAGGCTGCTTCTCTGCCTCTCCGGCGCTAAGCTGGCACGTGTGTCAGGACCCCAGGATATACCATGTGTGCCAGGGTCACTTATCAGGTCCATAATCAAACACACGCTGCTTGTGGGAAGCAGCCCCCACATGCATGTGCTGAACACCTGAATCATGGCATCTGCTTCTGATCCCCGAACCTCCTTTCTGAACCTGGAAAACGAAGCCCACCCAAACTGAGACCTCTGCGTCCATAGGTGACGTAGGCTGTGGGTCAGCTCTGGGGCTGCACCCAGAAAAAATGCCGAAGCTAGGGTGTAATGGCCACAGGACGTGTTGAGAGTCCAAGAGTTCTCATGTCATTAAAGGTCACTGTGGGGTATTTTAGTTGCCCTGATGCTGCAAACTTGAACCTGTCAAATTAACAAAATGTCAGAAATGGATTCACACAGTTTAGTGTTCAAGTCTCTCCATAAATCTGCTTCCCTGGCCTATGCCTACTGGGCAATTTTATAGCAACATTGTTTTGATACCTCAAAAACTTAGAAGGAATCTAGCTTACAGTACCCCCCTCCTGTCTACGATAAAAGGACCAGGAGGCTAAGTGGGGTTCTCGCAGCCAGCGTGAGAGAACAGTTTCCTGTCTGGCATGTGGGGTCCCAGATGGGAGCTCACCTTTCCCTGTCCCCCGCCAGCTCTGGCTTCCTAAGATGTTCTCTGTTTTCCCTTAGGAAGACTTCATCCTCTCCACTCTCAGCCACAGGCAAAGGGGACAGTGTCCCTGAGCTGGTGCCAGGCTTCTCTGAAGGCGCTCCCCAGGTTTCAGCCCGAACCCTCCCAGTTAAACCAGCCGAATGGCCCAGGCTGGCCGTGGGGGTGAGGCGGCTTGACTCCCGGGGAAATGCCCTGCTTCCAGGAGAGACTGTCCTGTCCAACGACGTCTCAAAATCCACAGGATGCCGTGTCTCTCCTTTCTCCCCTCCTGCCCACAGTATTTGCACCCCTTGAAATTCCACGTGTTTGCCCCGGCCTGGGCGTCCTGTGGAGCTGCCTCGATCCCCTCCCCTGGGGGGCTCGCTCCCCAGATCAGACCTCCTCTCTCTTGAAAGCCCAGCGCTGCCTGCAGAGCTGAGGGTCGCTGCTGGGCTCCTGGTGGAGGGCGCGGAGCCACCTGGCTCCTGCGCACAGAGGGCCCTTTTGCTCCCATTATTAGTTAACTGGGAAAGCTCTGCCTCAGTTTCCCCAGTTAACAAGACAGTCAGATCCTTCTGGATGCTCAAATAAAAATCTTCCTCAGTCGTCAGTGCAGCTGGAAGAGGTGTACCTGGTGGTTCTCCTTGGCCAGCAGGGAACAGTCTGTTGGCTCTCTGTGTTTTATGATGGGCAGTGTTCAGCTCTCTTTCCACCTGCTGAGCTGAAAAACTCAGCCCAGCATCTCTGCCCAGTACCTTGGTAGCCTGTGACGTTCCTGAAGCTATTCGGGACTCTGTGGCTTTCAGAGCCGAAATTAAAGCGTCAATGGGCTGTAAACTTTGTTCCTTGAGCTGACTCAGCGGGGGAGCCTCTCCAACATCTTTTGGTCCTCCTGTAACACTGTTGAGCCCAGCACAGTGGCCAGCAAGAAACTGGACCCCCTGTTGTCCCTGTGGGCAGCATGGTAGAGACTCGGCATCAAACTCCGGAGATGCTCTCAGACCTTCTCCACTTTCCTCCATGGTCCCATATTCCGGAAATTCATTTGTGACATTGGGTGGGAGTAAATTGCTTCCTCCATGATCACCTACAAACAGAACACAATGGACACATGACTTGTCTTGAGTAACAGGTTCAGATGGGTATTAATAGATAACCACACACATCAGACAGTCAGTAATCCTTATCTGGTTCTTTCACCGTCTCCTTCCCCCAACCCTGCACACATACTTCTCCTGAGCTTGCAGTGGTCCCTCCACTTGGCTCACCGAGTGTAACCACAAAGGCTGTGGCCTAGGAGGTGGCAACCTAATCACACACGCCATATTTCACCTGCTTCCGATTAAGTCCCTCACGTACAACTCAGTTGAGGCATATGCAAAAAGAGATAAAAATAGGGATCTGGTCACTTCACAAATACCACTCATGAAATAGCAATGAAAATATTTACACTGTAACAGCAAATAGCCATAGGATCCAGACAACAGTATCTGCGCAGTGAGATCTCTAAGATGGAGCCTCAGGAAACAGATACAACCTATTTCATCAGAAAAATTCTTTTTGGCCAGAAGCCTTCCCTTCACAGTTGGATTTCTGGGGGGGAACATCCCTAGAGAATAAGAAGGAAGTCAAAGTGGAATAGGAAATTTGGCATGTTGAGAAAAATACCTAGGATCTCAACTGCATAAAATTTAAATGATATCCTATGCAGAACCCAGTATATGAAGCAGCAGAAACAGTAATTAATACATATTTACTATATAGGATCAAATCTCAACATTTCCTTATTCAAATGGCAGAACAGTGAAGATGTTCTGATGAGACGATTACAAATGTAAACTGCGGTCGATGGGTTCACCTGTGTCAGCCCAGGCATCCGATTTCCTTCTGAGCTCAGTTTTGGCTATTCTGCATCAAGAAAATCCCCGTCCACACAAGAAATGTAGTATGACATATACTCACTCTGACAACTTTGTTAATGAGGACATTTGTTGTTTTTAAGGCACTGTGAGCTACAACCTTAGTAGGTAGTGAAATATTTAATAAATGTCTGAGTATGTACACTGAAATGACCACAGTGCGCAGGAGGGCATGTAGACACGAGTGAACACATGGTTTCCGACAATATGCACAATCTGAGAAAGAGTAATCCATCTGACAGTGTATACACTGTCTCTTATTACATTTTTTAAATAATTTGAAATATATTTTACTACTAAATTTGAGTTGAGTATTGATGAAATCCAAGAGGTACCTCTCTGTGACGGCCGTGTGGACAATACATTCCTAAGACAGAACTAAGGATGTGACCTGCTGGAATGTGAAGGGGAAGCAACTGGCCAAACCCTAACTGGAAAAGGAAGACAGTCAAAGCAATGAAGACCCTTATACCTAGGGGGATACATTGACATTTTTTTACTTTTTCAGTAAAGAACACAATAGAACTTTTAATTTTTTCCCCTTTTAAGATTCAGTGGTTTTTAACATATTCACAAAATTGTGCAACCATGACCACTATCTTATTCCAGAACATTTTCATCAGCCCCCCCGAAAACCCCATATCCCTTAACTGTGACTCCCCATTGCCTGTCTCCTCAGCCAATGGCAAGTAATAACTTACTTTCTATCTCTTTGGGTTTGTGTATTCTAAACACTTCATTAAAGTGGAATCACACAATATGTGGCATTTGGGGTCTGGCTTTTTTACTTAGCACTGAGCCATGTTTTCAAGGCTTATAGACACTGTGGCCCGTATCAGAACATCATCATTTTTACTGCCAAAGACTATTCCATAGTATGGCTATACCACAGGTTCTCTTCCCACTCATCAGGTGATAGACTTTTCTGCTGTTTCTACCATTTGGCTGTTAGGAATGAACGTTTGAAATTTTGTGTCTAGATTCATTTCTAATTCTCTTGGACACATACTTAAGAGTGAAATTTCTGAGTCATGCGGTAACTCTAATGTTTAATGTCTGAGAAACTGCCTGTTCATTTTCCAAAGCAACTGTCCATTTTACATTCCTACCAGCAGTGTGAGGGCCCCATTATTGTCCATCTCTTTCATCATGCCCATCCTCGTGGGTGTAAATGGTATCTTACTGTGGTTTGGGTCTGCATTTTCCTAGGGACCAATGGTATCAAGCAACTTGTCATGTGCTTATTGGCCATTTGTGTATCTGCCTTAGAGACAAATCTGTTCAGACCTTTTGCCTATTTTATAATTGGGTTACTTGTCTTTTTATGACTGAGTTGTAAGCATTCTTTATATATTCTGGAGAGAATTTCTTTATCAGATACATAACTTGCAAATATTTTCTCCCATTCTGTGTATTGTCTTTTCCTTTAGTTAATGGTGTCTTTTGAGGCACAGAAGTTTTTAATTTTGATAAAATCCAACTTATCTATTTTTTTTATTCTGTTGCCTGTGCTTTTGGTGCCATATGTTCAAACTATTATCTAATCCAAGGTCACAAGGATTTATTCCTATTTTTCTCCTAAGAGTTTTACAGTGTTAGCTATTATATTTAGGTCTTTGATCCTTTTTGAGTTAGATTGTGTATATGGTGTGAAGTACAGATCAAACTTCATTCTCTTGCAAGTGAAGAGTCACTTGTCACAGCATTATTTCTTGGAAAAAACTCTTCTTTCCCTCAGAACTGCTTTGATACCCTCATAGAAAACCAATGGACTATAAATATCGGGGTTTATTTCTGGACTCTCAATTCTATTTCATTAAGCTGGGATCCTAAGCTTGTTGCCAGAATAATACTGTCTTGATTAGGGTAGCTCTGCAGAAACTGCTAGTCCTCCTACTCTGTGCTTCCTTTTCCAGGTTGTTTTGACTACCATAGGCCCTTGAACTTCCCATATGAACTTTAGGATCAGCTTGTCAGACAGCTGAACTTTTGACAGGCACTGGGGTGAAACTAGAGTGCTGGCACCTTAACAATATTACTACTGTATGTCTTTTGATCTATGCCCATGTCTTTCCATTTACTTAATTTTCTTTAATTTCTTTTAACAATTTTCAGTTTTTTCTTTCTTTGTACTGTTTTGTCTCCTTCACATTTTTAATAGTTTTTATAACTTTTATGAATTATATTTACACATTTTATCATTTTTATAGTTTTAAACATACAAGTTTTACATTACTTGTGTTAAATTTATTCCCCTAAGCATTTTATTCTTTTTGATACTATTGTAAGTAGAATTGCTTTTTAAATTTCATTTTCACATTATGCGTTGTTGGCATACAGAAATAGAATTGGCTACTGCAACCTTCTGAATATATTATTAGTTCTAATAGAATTTTTTGAGTACTCTTTAGAATTTCCTTTACACAAGACCATGTCATCTGGAATATAGTTTTATTCTTCTTGCCTAAACTGCCCTGGCTAGAACCTCCAGGACTGTGTTGAGTATAGGTGCTAAGATCAGACACCCTTGTCTCATTCCTGATGTTAGGAGAGAGCTTTCAGCCTTTCTGCTGAATACAGTGTTATCTGTGGGTTTGCACAGATCCCTTCTACTCCTAGTTTGTCAAATGCTTTTATAATGAAAGGGTGTCCAATATTGTCAAATGCTTTTTCTCTACTGATTGCTCATGTGAGTTTTGTCTTTTATTCTAGTAACATGGTGTATTACATTAATTGATTTTTATATACTGAACCAATCCCACATCCCCAGAATAAATCCTACTTGGTCATAGTACATAATCCTTTTTATATGTCATGAAGTGCAGCTTTCTAGTATTTTAGCATTTACATGCATAAGCAATATTGGTCAATACAGTATTATCTTTTTCTGGTTTTGGCATTAGGGTAATGCTGGCTTCACAAAATGGATTGGAAAGTATTCTATATTGGCATTTGTTTACACATTTGACACTTTTTTTTAACATTTTTAACATTTTACACTTTTTTATGTTTTTAACAGTTTCATCTCCATTTATTACCCAAGGAACATTCATTTTTCAGCACTTCAAAACTATAAATTCATTATTAATGTGAAATGAAAGAGAAAAAAGTGAGTAATCCAAAAAGATGTCTTTCTTTGTAGCCAAAGAGCTTAAAGGGGTTAGAGAAGTACTCAGTCCACAGTGGGAAATATTTCCTTTAGACTTTATAGTGCTTTTCATTATTTCTCTAACTTAAAGCATACCTTTACAAAAAATTAGAGGATCATATGAATATGAAATCTGAAAGGATGAAAAGGAATCTGAAAATCCACTCAGCCACCTAACACACTTAGGTGAGAAAACAGGCTAAAAAAAATGATGGACTCGCCAACACAGCATGACAAATGCACATCAGAGCCCATCTGTCCTGCCTCTGCGATGCTCACCTCCCTCCCTGCCCTCCACCTTTATTGCTAGCGAGGAGCCCCAGCATGTGATCTTCAATCTGTTCCCTGAAATCTAAGAAATCTGAAATGGTTATATCATGTCCAGCCTCACTTCACTTCATGTGCAATAATCTTTCTAAAACAAACATTTCTGTTGCGGTTTGTAGTCCCACATAGCCTACAAAATGCAGTCCAAACTCCTCCATCTAGAAGTTAGCATGGTAATCCCGTCCCAATCTACTCTCTTTTTCCATGGCTCCCCTCCAAATATACTATCCCCACCGCTTCTCTAGCTGGAGGAGTGCGGTACATGGAAGGCTGGAAAGGCTCCCTCTGATGTATAGTGGAAATAGCTACCTCTACACACACTCTGACCTTTGTACTTCTTTCCCTTGTTTGACCTCTTTTCTCCCTATGACATACTTTTTCTTCCCATCTCTACAATTAGATTATTTTCATCTTTGAAGACCTAACTCAAATCTCTCTCCTTCATCACCAGCTCTTGCTAGAAGTCACCTCTCCTCCTCACAAATGTCAAGAGAATTTTGGCTGTATACTACATACAGCACAAACATATGAAATGCATACATGATGTGAGCACATCTTCTGAAGCTTCAAAAGGCTGCATTAAAGCCTCTCATCAAGTGATTTAACAAAACTGTTCACAATGACCATTGAAGCCAAATGTGTATTTCATACCAAAACATTATATTGAAATCCATTTAAAAAGGGAAGGCCTTT